AATAAAATTCAGAAACTTTTAACGAATTGCAACAGTTTATTGCTCAAATTTGGTGGCTGTTTTCTCTTCTTCTAGAAGAGAGGGGAAAAGCACAGATGGGTTAGGCTTTATAGCCCATTGTCATAACAACAGGGACTTTCATTTGATGGGCAAAAGGTCCCAAAATCTTAGGCTTATTTTTCTGCTAGCCAAGAGGAGAACCTGGGTGAAGAGAGCAGTAGGCATCCTTCATTTATGAAGATACTTTGGGAGAGGGTGCCTAACCTAGAGAGACAAGTGAAGGGCAGGAGGAGGTGAATTGATGCCTCTTGGCATCTCAGAGGGTCCCAAGCCCCACTGAGCTCTGGCCAATGCCAGGGAAAAATTACTTCATGCTGTGGCTGGGTGCTGACCCACTGCAAAGCAGAGGCTCTCTGCTCCCATCAAACTAAACAAGATGAAAAACAGGGATGTGAGAAGAGGGGGTAAGCACAGTGATTCAGTTCCTCATCTGCCATTCCATGGAGTATAAATACAGTTTGGATGCTCAAGGGAACAGCCTCCCAGAGAAGCAGAAAGGAAAATATGCAGCTGAAGCAACCATATTCCTCTCCTGCTGACTCCCAAGTCTTCTCTTCACAAGGCTGGGCACAACCCAAGGAGACATGGCATGAACTGCTCAATTTTGTGCCCTGTGATCTGCTATTAATGGACATTTTCAGGACATTTGTATCAGAGGAGTAGCATTACTCCATATTAATGTTAACTACACCCCTGGCTAGCCAAGCTAAAACACCAAACCCAAACAAACCCAACTTTGTTTCCCAGATAGGCCCATGAGGTCAGCATTTTGTCAGCAGTGGTGGACCCCAGGCTGCACCAGGACTAAGTTTAGCCAGTGCCCACACATCCTCAGCAAGCCATGGGCTCCCATGGCTGCTCCCACACAAGCACCAAAGGAGTGGTGACATCTTGTTACAAGGATCCATCTCTTTTGGAACTGTTATTACCCAAAACAAAAGTTGATCACTTGACCATTTGATGGGGGAAAAACTTCTAAAGTCTACTCCTTCTTTTTGATACTGCAGTCAAAAAGTAGTGTGGATTTTGTTACATTCAACATCTGGTCCAAAAATGTGCATTTCCACTAAGGAAAACACAAACCAGAAAAGGCAAGCCAAAACAAACACACACTAAATGTTACTATTGTTCTGACATATTTTATCCAGATAGGATTTTTAATATGTACAGAAACTGTATCTGATGTTATGCAGTCGGGTCTAGATATCAAACTTGAAAAAAAATGAATGTCTTTTCATGTGTATCATCTTGTTTTATTTCAGTCTTCACAAGTCTTTCAGTGCTTAACTGGCAGTGGACAACCCTCAAATTGCCTTTGCAGTGTTTGATTTATGTAGGTATAAAAATATGTGGGATAAGAAAGCTTGAACGTTGTATTTCACAACTCATTGAACAAAGTAGCAGTAGTTAGTTAGAAAATTTTACTTGGCAAGATCATCCTGGGGTGGGAGTGGGCCTGTGTGTGGAAAAGGGACCTAAGGAATGTTCCTACAATTATTCTGAGGCAGCACAGCCCGACGATGGGAATTTGCTCTGGGAGGTAGATCTTGCTGGAAGCCCTTCAAGATTAGATACGAGGCACTGACATATGACAAATGAAACTGCTGAGGGAGTGGGTCACACGAGCTAATGATTTTCAATCTTTAATCAGGCACCTAGCTTGGCACACGGCATTAGACTGGAGTAAATAAGTACCTCCAAGGCTCAGGGTTGAAGTTTGGCTGGGAATTTTGCTGAGGAAAACTGAGACAGAAGGATATTTAGGAAGAAAAACATTAGTTGCTGTTCATTTGCAGCAGTGAGTGAAGAGGGTGAAGTCCTGCCACCTTTGCCAGGCCCAGTGGCATCTCACTGGCACTGCTAGAAATACCACCCAGACAGACATACCTCTAGGAAAGCTGGAGGGTGCTGGCTTGTCAGCAAAGAGGAATGCTCTGCAGCATCTGGGTGGAAAGAAGGAAAAAAAAAAAGTGTTGCTTAGAATCTGCTTAGTCTGGGCCTTGTATTCCCTGACCTCCAAGATTTTGGGCACAATTTTATACCCACAGTTGACTGTGGGCACACAAATTATAGCATTCAGGAATTTAACTACCTGATGATTGGGCCTGCACTCAGTGTTGTAACCCCAAGCATTCCACATTCATGAGAGAAGCCTCCAAAAAAATAAAAAAAAAAAACCCTCCAAGATTGGCTTCAGGCTCATGAATTAATACTTTTTGAAACTTCTGCTTTTTTTTTTTTTGAGCCTGTATGGCTTGCATTTGCAAGCTCTTCCACCACCATAAACAGGAATCTTTGGAAAAAAAACACAGCAGTAAAATTGCATTTCTGTACAGCAAAATGACTTCACAAAACTGGACCTTCAGAAAGATGACAACAAAGAAAAAAAGAAATGAAGACTTAGGAGAAATTTGCTGGAGATTGTTCTACAGAGGGTGCCAGGCAATGCTGTATATAGATGGCAGCATCTCAACAGAATACATATACCCCCCCAATATATAAATATACACCCCCCCACCCCCTGTAAATATACACCTACAAAGACATCACCTACACACCACAAGGGGTGAGATCTTTGTCCTTCAGGAACAATGACAGTCCTGTTCTCTCAGGGAAGCACATCAATGACAGAAACAGAGGCTCCCTGGAACAGTGTTGAGCCCACAGAGGAATAAGGAACCCCACGAGCTTCACCTCCTTCCACTCTGAGCAATGTGACCTCTTCAATCAGAACCCAGACACCAGAAACATGTACAGAACATGACAAAATATACTGTCACCAAGATTTAGTGCTTAGGGAGAAGAGGAGCATGGACCAGGTGTATCTTAGTGGTAACACTTTCCTAGAAGTCCTTAGATCTCAGTGCTCTCCAGCAAAGGTTTAGAGCAGGTTCCCTCCAGCCCACTTTTGTCACAGATTTTCCTGCAGTTCTTGTGGCTGGAACTGCATGTGGACCAGTGGCTGAGAAAGCTGTAGAAAGAGGCTCATTTCAAAAAAATATGTATTTCAGCAATATCAAGGAAAGCTTATAAACACCCTTATACCTATCAACATGCACATCTAAATACCAATACATTATTTTAAGTCAGATTTGTGGAACAGGATTGGAATCTTGTTTGAAGGGTCTTTGAAAGATAACATCCTTCAGCACAGGCACGGAGTAAAGAAAGAGCAGATCTTTGAGATCCCTGAAAGACTTGAGATCCTTGAGATCCCTGAAAGATCTTGAGATCCCTGAAAGATGTTTCATAAGACATGCAGCAGAAGGTGCCAGCATTTCTCTTTTTCTGTAGGAAAGACAGGAAAATGACACATTTTGTCAGTGGCCTTTCCAGTGTCCAAGCAGCTCATCACAGCCTTGCTGATTTTCTTTTCTTAGAGCAGTTGCAGCTATAGGAACTTCTTCCCTAACCCAGTAAACCTTCCTGGAAAATCACCTTTTCTGCCTCTGACAGGGTAACTTGACCTTGACCTGGGAAAAGCCTGTGATTCCAGAAGGTCTGAGGTATTTCTGAAGAGGATGCTCAGCTATCTTGTACTTGCTACTGTATGTTGGCAAGTGAGAATCAAAACGAAATATTCTCTTTAATATTGAAACCCCAGAAATCTGGGGAAAAAACAAAACATACAATTTAAGTGAAACTCGAACAACTCAGGAGGGTGCCCTCTATTTGCAGGGATAGCCAGATCTGTACAGCTTTTATTTTAAGGCCAGTTTCTCAAGCAGTAAGCATTTTTGACTTCCCTTCTACTTCATTATGCCATTGTACTCAGATTTCGGCCCTTTTATCCGTTGCCCATTTCAGTCATGTTCTGGGCTCTGCAGCGAAACCACGACAGGAGATGGTCTGCAGCATCAGTAATGCCTTCAGACAAGCTCAGTGGCTCATGTTTCTTTGTTAGCATCCCGTTGAGAAGGGGAAAGATCAGTTTGCTTTGTTCTTAGGCCTTGATTTTCATAAGCTAATGACGACTGTGGGTGTAATTGTGGTCAGGTTTAAGTGGTAGCACGAGGGCAGAAAAACAGAGGGGTGGTTCCTGGAGGCTTGGCTTGCCCTCCGCCGTGCTCCTGGCGAGGGGCTTGGCTTCCCCCCGGGCACACACCCCTCAGCCCCTGCCCAGGCAAGGGGGGATGTGCCAGCTGCTGGGAGCAGAGCACCCACCAGTTTGGGTCCCTTCTAGGGACCGTCTGATGCTGGATTAACCTCCTCTGGGTTAACCTCCTCAAGCCAGAGCTAAATGCTACCCTTCCTCTCACAGCTGAATAGGAACCTTCAGTGGATTTTATTTATGTTGCTCAGTCGTGACCCTTGTGCAAATAAATGTATTTGTTGCTGGGCATTTGCTTGACAGTGGGGCTAGGCACTGTGAGGACTGCTGCTGTTAAAGGGGATGGTATGCTCTGTGGGCTGAAGAGTTAATAGTCAATATACCTCTGCTGGTATAGGCAATATTGGTAACTGTGCAGTGAATGCCTGTTCAGCCACACACACTCTGTTGCTCTGTGATATTAAAGCTAGTCAAAAATTAAGCAATGAAGATCAGTTTTTCTGAATCTTACAACACTTCAAAAAAAACTTTTTTTTTTTTCCTTTTTGTTTTTAAAATTGAAAAAAAAAAAATTTAAGTCACTGGAGTCCCAAGAATTACTTTGATTCTACAGACATGTCTTCTGAAATTTAAATAAATATTCTCCAATATGTGGAAAGAGAATACAAATGTAACAAAATTACAAAACAGTGTGTTTCTGGCCAGGTGCTGTGTAAAACAAAAGGTGTTATAAACATTCTGCTGGGATGTGAGAAGATTTATAAACGTGCTGTCAAAAAATTCCAGCCTGCTGTAACGAATACTCATAGCAACTAACCAGGCTGAGAGTTAAGCAAGCTTGCAGTGCCGTTTTCATGCAGTAACAATACGTAAATGTCTGTACACACAGGTTCTTGAAGAGAGAATGAAACTGGAGTGTAAGTGTCACGGGGTCTCAGGTTCCTGTACAACCAAGACCTGCTGGACCACGCTTCCCAAATTCAGAGAGATCGGATATATTTTGAAAGAGAAATACAACGCCGCGGTGCAAGTGGAGGTGGTACGAGCCAGCAGGCTAAGACAGCCAACCTTCCTGAAGATCAAGCAGATCAAGAGTTACCAGAAACCCATGGAAACGGATTTAGTGTATATCGAAAAGTCCCCGAACTACTGTGAGGAAGATGCTTCCACGGGGAGCGTGGGCACCCAGGGCCGGCTCTGCAACCGAACCTCTCCCAACGCGGACGGCTGCGACATGATGTGCTGTGGCAGAGGTTACAACACCCACCAGTACACCAAGGTGTGGCAATGCAATTGCAAATTCCACTGGTGCTGCTTTGTCAAGTGCAACACGTGCAGCGAGAGGACAGAGGTGTTCACCTGCAAATAACGGCGCCGCGGGGGCGCGGGCGGAACGAAATCCCCAGGAGTGGAGAGAGCAGAGACAACAGCAGCGTTTTGCACATCTCAGCTTCTTTGGGAAACAGAAAAAAACAACCCCACCCCTCTGAACAACCAACACCACCAGAACCACTCCCTGCCCCCACTACTCACGCTTTTAAGGATGGTGCATTTGGACTGGCTGGCTGTTGTAACTGCTTTGGAAACAAGGGCAACAGGATTAAGGTGATGTTGACAGCTATGTGAAACTTTCTGGTTGTTTTTTTTTTTTTAAAAAAAAAAAAAACCTACAATCTGGATGTTGTAGAGTTCTCCTAGTAAGTGTTTTAAGTTATACATATCAGAGAAGCTGATTGCATTGCAGCTCCCATGAGATTTAAAAGAAAAAGACACTTTCTCCTAATCCACAACAACAAAACCACCGAGCCCTGTGCAAATAAATATTATTATTTTTTTTTGTTTTAGGAAATGAAATCTTCACTGACTAGAACATAGCAGTATTTCTGCAAAAAACCTGAATTTCTAAGAAAGCAGGTAGTGAAAAAAAAAAACCAGCTGGTAGGGAGATGAAATCTCTGGCGGAATTGCTCCACTATCAGTGTGCTAAAAGATAACGTTCACAAAATTCCATCAGCTGCCAGTGACACTGGAACTTTCTGAATGAACATTAAAAAAGAATTATTTATGTTTTTAATAGTATCAAAAAAAATTTTAAGCACTAACGGGTAGCTATGTCTTAATTCTGTACTAAATGTAAACTTATTGGAACTCTGACTTTATGATTTTATTTTATTTTTTTTTTTTTGTATTTGGTTCTCCCTAAGTTCTTCAATGCTACTGATCTGTTGTCACTCCACTATTAGAGAGGTCAATTACTGTAGGCCTTAAGCAATTACAAGAGCTGAGATCTTGTAATGTAAAAAAAAAAGATCACGAGAAACTGTGGTTACAAATGCTTGATAAAGACTTTTCCCTGCTTGCCTCCTGAATAAGAATTACTCTTTTTTTAGACTCAGGCTTGAGGCGTGGAGCACGTGCTCTCAGCTCCTCGGAGGGAGTTTTTGGGATACAAAAGACAAGCTTTGACAAATACCAAGGGTTTTGCTTTGCTGCCAAATGCAGCTCCAGGATCTTCCAAGCATTGCATTTTGCCTCTAACGGTTGGAAGTTAATGTTATCAAGAGTTTTAAATAACTTATAAACTGAGAAGTTAAATAAAAATATGGTAGTTGAGCTCTAGGTTGCTGCAACTTGTGAGCTCTGGTGGCTTCACAAGCATCAGATAGCTAAAAATTGGGTTAGTCTGTGTTGTTGTTATTCTAAGGTTGGCAATAACATACCCCAGGTAAAAACATGAATATTAAGAGAGAAGTTGACATTTTATACCAGCACTCAATTCTAATTCACACACTTTTTCCCTCTGAGAGATGAAACAAAAAATAAAATCCTCAGATATTTTACTACTGTAAAATACGTTTTAACCCCAGGAGCCAGGTATGCCCACTCAATAACACAGCACCTTTAATCACAGAAATATTTGCTTGTAGCAAATGTCCCTACCTGCTTTTCTGAAAAAAAAATTGGATTAAAATTTTCCTTATGTCTGCATATATGCATTTCTACCTTTTGTTTCATTTTATTGCTCCTATTGATGGGCTGCACGAGCGTGAGCCCTTCCCACCTGACACACCACACAGTGCTCTTGGGGCAAGGGGACTGGTGGAGTTCTCCACAGGCTCCTGTGCTGGATGTGTGAATGAGCCAGGATTACCTCCCTAATGTATGCTCAAAACTAACTAATCATTTGGGGACCTTAATTTGACCTGAGGCACTTACCCTGTGAAAATTAGACCCCTTTGCTGAGTGTCTCACGGAGCAATCCAAACTGGAAGAGCTCTTTTTTTGTTGTTTTTGCTCTTGGTGTCTAAACACCAGCCTTGGTGTGAATGAGTGCAACTCCACAGAAGTCAATAGGGTCCCCCAAAACGCTGAAGTCACTCCATAGAATTTAAATGATTCCTGGGTATTGTGGTTGAATAATAGTGATATACTGTACTTCCACTACATTCTTGACAGGAAGCAGATAAAGCTCCCAAGCACAGTAATGCACAGTCTTATGGTACTAGATGCTGTAAATATATTAGAATAGTATTTGTTAAGTACAATTGAGGAATCCAATTAAGTTATATTATTGTATATCGTTCAAATGTCTATAGAATATTTTAAATTATTGTGAACTACACTGCGTTAAAAAGAAGAAGGTTATATTTTATAACACCAGCCACTCTGAAAAGTGGACCAAAGTGACAATTTCCTGCAAACAGGTTAGTCATCTAGAATATGATGTTTCAGAGCAGACTAGACAAGTTCTGTTCCTCCGGGGGGTGCAGCATTCAGGAAGGCACTGACTGAAACCAGGGGCTGCCCATGGGAACGCACGGACTTTGAGCTCTGGTCCAAGAAAAAAGCAGTTTTAGTCAGAAAACACCCCAACAACCCCTCCAAACAACAACCTTTTCATGAAGGTGTCTATGAACAGAAGTGGGTTACACACTATTTAAAAAAAAAAATGTAGTTTGATGTCCAAGAACTGTGACAACAGAGGTTTGAAGGTGACCAGCAACACAACGTGGTTTAACCGTACCGTAGCCATGCCAGAATTCAAAATACTGTATGTTATTGAAGATTTTAAGAGCAAAGATCAAGTTGTTTACTATATTGATGTTTTATGGCAAGCAGAAAACAAAAGATGAAATGTGTTTCCATTAAAACTTAATTTTTTTCCCCTGCTAGTTCCCTTTCTTTTTGTTTGTTATTCATTTAGGAAAAAAAAGAAAGAAGGCAAGAAGGCCTCATGCAAAGGTCATTTGGGTACAGGCTTTTCTGGGTGAGAAATGATAGGCAGATTATAAATCCAAAACAGTGTTTTGTGAGAAAGAGTACTGGAGTTGCCTGTCTTTGGTGTCACAGTCCAAAGGCACCTATTTACACCAGTGTTGCAGAGAAACTGCCCCAAGCATTGGTTGACTTCAGACACCAGAGACTTCAGTTGGCTCAAATAAGAAAGAGAGAAATGTTTTGTGACAGAAATGTGGCATCTGACTCCAAGTGACCATGAACTTCGTGTGACAGATGAGTGGGCAAAGAGGAATAACAGGTGTAGAGGAGAGGCTTGAAGGCCCTGAATTCAGGACTTACATACATTCCAGCTTGTTCAAGCAAGGTATGGACCCACCTGAAAAACCTTCTGTGAATGTCCACCTAAAAGATATTACAGCAGGTACCTTGGTCAGAATAGTGGCAACCTTCTCAATACTGAGAATAGCATCTTCCTATACAAAACCTAAAGAAAATGTACAACTTTTATTGTATCTGCCCCTCAGGGAAGATATCCAGCTATAGATAAAGGTATAGCCAAATTCTACATGAACCAAGTCCAAAATAACTTCATTAAAACGAGCTGAGTTTCCCTGGGTTTATAGTAGCCTAAGTATGCACAGCATTTGACCCACAGATGCCAAAGAAAACACTGCACCTTCTTTATAATTACATCATGGGAAACTTGTTAATAGAGCTGCAGGAAGCTTTTATAGCAAACAGTAATATTACATTCATTTCTGCAAGGACATCTGGAAAGTGTACGAAATTCATCAAAAATCTTCTAACAAATCTAAAGCATCTTGGGAGCAGGTCACTTAAAGTTTCAAACATTGCCATGGATTTCTTTCTCAGTTTAAGGTTAAAACCCAAAAGCGAAGATGACGAATCAAGGCCTTCCCTTACACCAGCTTTCCCATGCAAATAACTTGATATGCCTTTCACCACACAATTAGCCTGCAACACAAAATGCTTTCTATAAAGCTAGAGATAATTTGCATCCATAGCAATTTTCATCACTGGACAGAAGGAGTGCAGGTTTCCCTTCCAAGCCCCCAGACCTTTTGTTGCAATGACAGTTCCCACAGCGAAGGGTACAGTAAGGGCCCAACATTCTTCCCTCTGAGTGACAGCCACGAAGAGAAGTGGGATATACACACCTAAAACTATGTCTTGGGGTAAAAAACATCGAATTTGGAAAGGCAGGGGAAGTGGTAAGAATTTCACTGTGTGATACTGGTGTTGTAAGATAACTCCTGCACACAAATCTAACTGCACTGCAGGGAGAATTTCACCCACAGATTTTTTTTTCCCCCTCTAATCCATCATCCCCATCTGCATCTGGGCATTCAGACTGCTTCCCTGGAGAACAAGCATGCCCAAAGCCTGGCAAATATTTTCTTTTGATGTTTTTTTCACTGCTATTAGGAAATTGTAGGGGATCGTTTTCTGACAGGAGACACACAGTTACAGAGTGGAAATTTGGATCTTATTTTAAAAATTAAAGATCTGGGGCTTTTTCCCTGCACTTTTCTGCAGTACAGACATATGTGCTTTAAAAGATTCATTTGGTGAAAAATCTAGACAGCAGTTTTTACATGATACTGGTTTTTTGCAGTGTATTCCACAGAGCATTGAGGCAGAGGGAAATTCAAAATCTTTAGTTGTGCTGTTTTCACTAAAAGCAATACATTAAATATCCCTTGTTAGAGACCCAAGTGTGATTCTATCTTATAGGATGATCCTTTACATAATTTGGAATTATGGAAGGCCAGAAAAACAATGGGAATAATAAAACTTGCTTTGGTTCTGGGTCCTCTTACTCTCACTGCAAATAAGATCAATAAGGAGCCAGCTTTATGATGTTTAAACTTGTGCATAGGTATTAAAAATGATTAAGATATTTGTTGCATGGGTGATGCCAACCAAATGGCATTGCACTAGGCATTGGAAACGTTTGCATCCAAAGCCAGCTGTATGATTAGCCTTTGACTTCATTTGCCCAGCAATTTAGGGGAAACCCAGCATTTTAGATCCCATACAGCTAAAAGGAATTCCCAAGGAGATTAGAAGATTTTGATCTTATTGTTTAATTCCTGTGGCTGAGGATGAAA